AATTCTTAGTTGACATACCCCAGTTTTCAAGCCCTTAAAATCATTAAATAACAATTATAARAGCTTTCAATTAAATGTTTTAAAATTACTAATAATACCATTTTCCATGTTGATAAGTGCATTTCAGAAATTATCTCTTCGTTTGCTTTAACCATATTCAGAGAAAAAGCCTGTGATTGATCAATAAATGGAGCACGGTCAGCAGCCATATGTACCAAAGCTTTTTGATCAATTTCCCATTTTGTTCTGTACAAATGTTTTAAATCTTCTGGCAGGCCTTCAATTTCCTAAACATATAAATTCATTAGCACCAATTGTCTGATATCTAATATCTAATAAATTACCTGTATTGAACCCATATTGTTTACTAATTGAGATACTAATTTCTCATCCCAAAKATTACGATCATGCAAATCTCTTAATAGATACGGATTTACAACCTACAACACAAATAATTTTTTTTTAATAAAATAAATAACTTAAATTAAACAAATTAAATTACCTGAATTTCTTTTGGTTTACTTTCTCCCATTGAAATATATCTACGTTTAACATTAGTGTCTAATGGTTCAATAGAATTTACATTTCCAAAAATTGATGACTCAACTTCAGTATTTGAAGTAACTGTAACCAGAGAATTCCGTAGTCCATGTWGTGCAATTTTTGTTTTTAGACTACTCCAATCCCATAAATTAGAAGGTTTAACATTCCACAAATCAAATTGTAATAACTGCATATACCAAATCAATAAGTTCATGAACAAATATTTAATATTTAATTATAGTTGTCTTACCCCTTTACTCGTTGGACTATTTGGGTATGTTTTATATGGTCCATATTTAGTAGCTAGTTCACAACTTGCTTCTAAAGCACCATAATAAATGGTTTCATGAATTTGTATGTTAAGATCTCTAGCTTCTTTAGTATCAAAAGGATATTTCATTTTAATAAATAAATCTGCTAATCCTTGGATACCAATTCCAATAGCCAATTGATTTAACTTAAAACCGAATAGCAATTGTTCTTCCTAAAAGAAACGTATTTATTACTTGTTTAATAGAATGTTATGAAAAGTAAGCAAATTTACCTTGGTAAATATAACACTATTGTTATCAATTATTTTATTCAAGTCATAAGTTATTTTTTTTGCTGTTTCTTTAAGTTTGGAAAAATCAAAATTATTTTCTGACGTTAAAAACATATCTACKGAAATTGAAGCAGTAGTACATGTAGCAACCTATAGAACAATATTTAAATTAAATTTATAAAAAAAAACATAAATATCACTTATTTAACAAATAAAATGGAAGATATTTATTAATTTATATTTTAATATATTATGCTAAAAATTAATGTATTAATTATAAAGATAAAATATAAAGGTTACTTCGTCAGATGCAGTAAATTGAACGGTATCTCCATTTCTACCAGCACATTGGATTGTTCCCAAATGAGATTCATTGCTTTTAGCGTTACATGCATCTTTAAATAACAATAATGGTAAACCAGTTTCAATCTGAGATTGAATAATYTGTGACCATAACTTCTTTGCTTCAATTTGTCTTATAATAAAACTTTTACCTTTTAACTCATACCTGAGAATAAAAAATAATCATAATTATTTAAATAAAACATTATTCAATCATTTTGTTAAATGATTACTCTTTATAAAGACGATCAAACTCTTCTCCATGAACTTCTATAAGACCAGGACAATGATCAGGACTCATAAAACTCCACATTTGGTTATTTTGTACTCTCCTCATAAATTCATCTGGTATCCACAAGGCTAGTTGACTGTTTTTTAATTTTATATCTGCAATTGTAGTCTTTCTAATTTGGTCAATAACCTTCATTATATCGGCATGCCAAAGTTCACAATAAATTGCTAAGCCCCTAATGCTCTTAGGCCTTTCTAATGTTTCTGCAAGGTGGACCATGGCATCGTATTGTTTCAACATCAGAGGAAGACCACTAGATTTTCCATTACTGCCTTTAATATAAGTGCCTGCAGCACGTATTTTGTGCACATGGACAGCGGTACTTGAATAAGGTAAAATAAATGTCGACAATCGGTTAAATGTATCATAAATACCATCAATGCTGTCTGCTATCATTGCTACTGAATAATGACTAATAAAATACAAAAATTAGTATATACATTTTTTTWWAAATAATCATTMATTTTACCTTATAACTGACACCTTTAATTTTCTAGCAGCTGGCTGCAATTGCATTACTACTGGAGAAAACATACACAACTTATGAGACAACATTTTATATGTATCAATAGCTGAGTCAATATCATCTCTATGAATACCAACAGCAACCTTCATAAACAAATGTTGAGGTCGTTCAATAGTTTGATTATCAGATTTAACTAAAAAATGTTGTGTTAAGTACTGAAAAAATAATTATATGTAATCCAATTATTAGTGTTGATAAAATTTTTGTGACAAAATATAATTTTATCTTACTTTAAATCCAAAATAGTCCAAAATATAATCATTTTCATAATTAATTGCCTCATTTAATCKATCTTTATTTTTCATGATAATTTCATAAATATCATCTGATAAACCAATATTCCAATAATCATTATTTTTATAAATATCATCAATCACATCTACAAGGAAAATAAAATAAATCTATATTAATTACTAATTAGTATACTTATTTCATAAGATTAARYGGACACCATCCTACAGCGAGTGTCCTTTCTATTTTACAAACGTACAACATAACAAATTTATATTCAAAAATTTCAATTTTGTATAATATCTTTTTGTAATAGATAGAATTCACTTATTATCAATCTTCAACTAAGGTAAGAACATTWTCTGTGTTTTACGTAATATTTTTATTATATAACAAATTATATAAAATATTACTATTTAAAAATACTCATCTAGCTAATTAAAAAATATTATAAAAACGAAAAAATKAATAACTAGTTGGATAATAAGTGAATTTACTTTATTATTAAGGGTTACTAAACTTAATTGAAACTGCTGAACACAAACTTACTATGTTGTAGAGTAGTTAGAGGAATACCACATCTATAATGTATCCCTTTAATAATTTAAAAGTTTAAAATTAAATATAATCTATACGGTATAGAGAAAGACCAGAGTAGAATGCAATTTAAAATAGCAGAAGTACTTATGAGTAAGTATCAATTAGGACCTTTTAAACTAAAAAAAAAACTAGAGTTGTGAAAATTGTTAACTAGGCAATTTGTTTAGATTTTCATAATCCACATTTTTAATTGAATAATTTTTTATTAAAATAACTAGGTACTTTAAAATTATATTTGAATACCAAATATCTTATCCAAATAATGTCTCTCTTCTAAGAAGCATTAACTGATATTACTTTTTTTTTTATCATTATTATTCTAAACTTAAGATATTCCTAGCCTAAGGCTTATATCTAGGAATATTTGATAATTTAATTAGTTTTATATGATTAATGCGAGGATTAACGTGATAATTAAAATAATTTTTATAATTACTAAAGAGTACTAACTGATATTACTAATATAAGGGTTTCTGTTCAATCTATATTTAATGATAATGCATACCACTAAATTGTTCTTTAGTTTGCTTATGTAAATTAGAAATAGCAATGCGAGCTGCTAGTTTTTCATAATCTGGATGGATAGTAGCCATAGTAATTGCCATTTCAGCAGCTGCATCGTCTAATTGAGATGTAGTGATTCCAGTATAAAGACATTTTTTAATCACGTGAATTGCAGTTGCAGCCTAAAAATATATTAAGCTTTGTAAATTGTAAAAAAGGTATAATCAAAGATTTTATACTTAAAAATAAATACTTTAATTACAGTTCTTTTATAAAAAACCAAATTATAATTTAATCAAAACTTTAAGATTATTGTTATTATATTATACACATTTAACTATGATAATTATACAACTGATGTACTCAGAGGTTTATTAACATATTGTCCATGAACAAATATTATATCAATAAAAATAATCGGTTGAATTTAACTCACTGGATCAATTTTTTCCAAGCCATAGCATAACTGTTTAATACGAGCAATAATTTCATCATAGTGAACACTTTCAATACTGCCATCTAAATTAATAATTAAAACCAAATTATTTAAATAACAATAACGTTAATGTTTTATTTCAGTAGGTAATAGGTATAATTTGAAAAATATGTTAACATTTGTTAATARTATAAGCAAAAAACCAATATAACAACAGCATAAACATGTAAATCAGTAGAATAAAAAAGACAATATCACAGATTATATAAAAATTAATTATTATATGTTAGAATCCCAAATAATCTGATCAACTAAATGTGTTGATCTGATCTGATCAACACTTCAAGAATATTTTGATTTCTTATCAACCATGTCTATAAATTTACAGTTTAATAAGCATTTACAATAATTAATAGCATAATGTGCARACACACAGTATACTTAAAACTTAATAAACTTACAGATAATATAATACCCGTTTATTTATATAATATTCTATTGGTAGAATAGAATACAAAATGGAAATAAAATAAAATACATTAGGCTACGCAGTACATACCTCTTTTTTGAACGTACAAATGCTTCTTTAATTCAGCCATAATAATACTAAGATTGGATCAAATATTAATTTAATACAATAAATGARTATTATTTTAAACGTCTTCAATTGAATGCTGAATAATGAACGTTTCGTTTAACAATGGCCAATGCGTGCGAATAACGTAACGACCGACAGATGCAAATCTTCAAATGGTTTGTACTTTCTATCTTCTATGCTCTTGCTCTATAGCAAATACCCTATGGTATATTATTATAGACTACTATAATAGTTTTAACACAAAATTAATACGATTTACAATGTTACAGCAATACTACCTATACTATCAGTCGGCAAACTGCATTTAAATAAACAAAAAAAAAACACAACAAGGCTGTAGTTTCGCGCCAAAATGCTATTGTCAAAACAGTGACACCAATCACCATGTTTGTAAAAAATATACGTATCGTACCATCGTCCATCGTACATTCGTACAATTAAAAAACAAAAATGTTGGCCAAGAGATTAA